TTTCACCGGGCACGAGGCTCCAGAGATGGATTTCAGGCTGCATGCTGCTGCCTCTCAGGAGATTTTCAGCCTTTCTCTGAACCCTTCAGCCTTTTTCTGAAGCTCTCAGTCTTTCTCTGAACCTCCCAGCCTTTCTCTGACCAAGGGCAGACCATGCTCCCTCAGCATGAGCCATGTCTGCTGCCAGCTGTGGATGGTCCCAGTATTTTTCCCTCTCTGTGTCCACTGCACAGCCCTGTTTGGCACCAAACTGCTCCTTGGGCTCCTGTGGGTCTTTTGTCATGGGTTTACTTGGGAAAGGCCCTCAGGAGCAGGCTGTGGGAGCCGGGGAATGTCTCTGGTGCAGACCATGGATTTGCCGGTGACGCATGAGGACGCAGCGCTCTCCTCCTCCTCCTCCTCCTCCTCCTGTCAGGCTGCTCTCGCTGTAGCTCTGCTCTCCTCCAGCATTATTCCCTTCTCCCCCATTTTAGGGGTATCATTCCTGCCTGGCTTGTCAGGGCAAGTGAAGGCAGGATGGATCTGGCTCGAGGTCACTCCCCAGCTGAGCATCCTCCTCCATCCCACGCCCCAGGCAGAGCAGCAGCCTCAGACAGGGCTCTGGAGCTGAATTCTGTCTGCTGCTGTCAGTGGGATTACAGTGCCACTGCAAACAAATGGGTGAAAAAAAATGTTTATTTTTAGAACTGGAACCATGATAAATATGTGGAATTTGTCCAGGGTCTGCCTGCTGTACCTTTTTGAAATGCAAAGTGCATGTCTGTTAAAATACCTCTCCAAAGGTCAGCATAACCTCTGGAATGAGTCTGCTGGCCTTTTGGAAAGCAGGTGAAGCTTCAGATGAGAGCACAGGCCCCCAGAACCCAAATCTGCCTCAGTGTCATCTGACACCACAAGGATATGGATGGAAATGCTGCCTTGCCAAAAGGGTTGATCCTTCAGTGAGGAGCCTCAGACCATTCCTCACCCTTCACTTCAGCTTTTCCTTCCACTTTCCTGCCTTTTATGTTTGAGGGATGTGCTGTGAGTGTCTTGTTTGAAACTGGTAAGAGGGGGGATGAAAATGGAGAACTGGAATAAAAAGAGGGATGGAAGCTCAAGGCATCCCTCAGTGGGTTTGTGTCCCCTGTGGTGATGCAGCCAGGCTTGCAGGCCTCAGGGGTTGAAATGTTTGAGAACTTTACATTTTTCCATCCTTTTAGCTGTCCATGAGGTGGAGGAATGGTGTTACTCTATTTTAGACAGGGAAGTGAGGCAGAAATAAGAAATTACTTGCTCCCAAGAGTTGTAGGAATCTCACAGCTTAAAAAAATTTAAAAAAGAGTTGGCATAGCTCTTCACTGCCTGTCAGGCACCCTGGGCAGGGTGGCAGTTGTGCCACGAGCTTGGCTGTGCCATCCCACTTTGGGGTGGGAATACACAGCGGGCAGAGGAGAGGCTCTGGAGCAATAGCAGAGGGAATAAACCGAGCCAAACTGTGGAAACCGAGCTGCAAATTAGGGCAATTGAAAGGCACAATTGAAAGGCACAAACATCCTGTTGAGCTTGGAGTCCCCGTCAGCACCTAATGAGTAAAGCACATGGCCCAGCTCAACCGCAGGCGTGTTTCAGTGGGAAAGCTCTGCCTGCCTGCCTCGGGTGGTGGCAGGCTTTATTCCACAGGCAGGTGTTCATGTGAAGGGGGGACAGCATTATAAATAAATTATCCCTTCATTTCCGTCCCAGCGTTTCCTATTGTTTAGCCACAATGTGCTTTCCTGTTTTTTTTAAACGAAACAAAACAAAACAAACAAAAAGTGCCAGACCCCAGCTCTGAGTCCTCCTCTGGCGGGGTGGACCCAAAGCTGTGTTTGAAGTGGGTGCCAGTGTCCTCACTGTGCTGTCACTCATGCTGGTGGCACTGGCACTGCCACCTTGGTCCTCTGTGCCCTCTGAGAGGGGCATGAGAAGAACCTGCCTGGGAGCAGTGCCAGGGCATCACATCCCTGGCAGGAGCCTCTTCTTCATCAGGGGGCTGTGGGAGGAAGGCTGGTGCTGCAGTGGGATTGGGAAAGGGGATTTTGGGGATAGCAGAGAGGAGAACAAAACCTGTCTTCCCTCCTTCCTCCTGCTGGCCAATGTGGGGCCGTGGCAGGAGGAAGGAGGGAAGACAGATTTTGTTCTCCTCTCTGCTATCCCCAAAATCCCCTTTCCCAATGCCATGGCATTTTCCATTCTTCATGTTGTTGAAAGTGCCATGTGAGGCCTTGGCACTTGCCCCAACAGGGGGGTTGTTTTTAACCATTTTACAAACAAAAGCAGCTCAGTGGGTTATAAAATGAGGGTTTCTCTGCCCAGCCAGGCAGGGTGTGAGGTGGCACAGAGCCCACCCAGCCCTTTAGGAGCCCCTTGGGATCCATCCCAGCGCTGCTGGACCCAGGTGCCACCTGAAGGGCACAAAGGCTGAGTGAATGCTCATGGAAAAAGGGTGCTGTGGTGGGGGACAAGGCCAGGAGAGGCTCCACCCTGCCCGGTGCTGGCTGGGTCCCTGCCTGGAGCCCCCAGACCCCGCTCCCTTGGCAGCAGCTCTGTTGTCAGGAGTGCTGACAGGCACACACACACGGAGCAGCACCCACATGAGCACGGGTGGGCTGTGCTGGGAGCAGCCATTGCTGCATTTTAGCTCTTCAGCAGGCAAGGAGTGAGATTTCTCCTGGAAATACAGAAAGAAATGTCCCTTTCTGGGGAACCCTGCTGTGCTGGGGGCAGAGGTGCTGTGCTGGGCAGGGGGATTGAGCACCTGGGGAGGATTTTCCCTTCCCCATCTGCTCCAGGGCTCATTTCACAGCCCTAGCATGGAACTGGCACCCTCCCCTCACTGCCTGAGAGCAAGGATGTATTAATTTCCACTGCTGTTTGACAGGATTAACCATTGCACAGCGACTGCCACGTGCAGGACAAACCAAGAGACAAAACACCTATTGATTGTTATTTATATCTTACTGCAAACAGGAGCTTTTTGCCTTCATAGCCCTTTGACTCCTGCTCCCAGTGCCTGATTTGAAGGGCTAATCCTGTGCTCAGATCTTGCTGCACCCTCTCTTCTCTTTGCCCTGTGCCTTAGTGCAGGTCCCAGCCTCTCACTGCCCTGTCTGCTCTGCTTTTGCTTCCAAAAAGAAGCTGCCACCACTGCAGCCCTCCTGCCAGCTCACCCAGCTGAGCTCCCAGGATCTTCTGGTGGGTTTTTTTCCAACAGACAGAAAAATCCTTCCCTTGTCACAAAGCAAAGCCTGGGGTTGCACACAGGGAGGGAGCAGCTTGAAGGAAGGGCCTGGCAGGTGGCTGCTAAAGCTTCAAGCATGGCAAAAAGTGTTCAGAATAATTGTGAGCATGTGATGGGGTTTTATATTTAACAGGATGGCTTTGGGCATTCAGGATGTTGCTCCATTTTTGCTTTAAACATCTACAAAGCCAGGTGCAGAGACAGGAGGAGAGGTGGAGTGGGTGGGGAATGGGTAGACCAAATTTTCTAAAGCACCATGGTGGTGGTGGGAGCCCAGGACCTGGAGCAAGTCCCCATGTGCTCAGGGATATGCACAAGACATTGTCTCCACCTCAGGAAGCTTCTAGCTAAGGTTTAAGATCCAAATTGAGCTATTTTTCATTTCTGCTTCATGGCTGTGTGAAGCTCACTTTAGGTCCCAAATCTGCTTTTCTTGAAGTCAGTCTCAGAATTGCTATTGACTTTAAATGCTGCAAGATCTCACCCATCAATTCTCCTTCTCCCATCTGTAAAAGGAGGATGGCAGGATTTCTGTGCCATCTGCGGTGCTGTGAAGCTGAAAACAATCATCAGTTATAAAGTGCTTTGAGCTCAAATGGGAGCTTCTGGGTAAAGGCAAGGATGAAATGTTCCTGGATGTGCCAGTTGTATCTGATATCTGAGCCAGGGGCTGGGTTGAAGGTTTGGGAGGAACAGTCTGGTGTTGCAGAGGTGCTCCAGCTGCTGAATGCCTTGGATTATTTGTGCTGGTCAAAAGTTCCTGTTCATCATTACAAAATCAGCTGGTGGCTGCACGTCCCATAAAAATCTCCTAAAACCCATGCTGACCTTGAGCATCTGTGATTTTTAGCAGCCACAATCCTCAGAGCTCCTGTCTCTGGCCACCATGTGAGTTGGAACAGCACGTGCTCTGCAAGGAGGAAACTTGGAGCTGCAGATGTTGGGCTTTTCTGAGGGCAATAGGAAGCATCTGATGGGAACAAAGGACGTTCCTTCCTCTCCAGCTTTGCAGGGAAGCTGCCTAACCTTGCTTGACACATTTCTGCAGAAAGCTGAGGGGCAAACTGGGACAACAAAGAGCAGATTGTGGCTAAGCATGCTGTGTGAAGGTGAAATATTGAGGGGCTTGGAACACAAGCACTATGAGGAACAACTGAGGGAGCTGGGGGTGTTTAGTTTGGAGAAAAGGAGACTCAGGGGTGACCTTATCACTCTCTGCAGCTCCTGAAAAGTGGCTGTGGTCAGGTGGGGCTGGGCTCTTTCTCCAGGCAGCACTGACACAACCAGAGCACACAGCCTCAAGCTGCATCAAGGGAAATACAGGTTGGATATCAGGAAAAAGCTTTTTACAAAAAGGATGATAAAGTTCTGGAATGGCTGCCCGGGGTGGTGGTGGAGTCCCCATCCCTGGGTGTGTTTAACAAAGCCTGGATGTGGCACTGGGTGCCAGGGTTTAGCTGAGGTGTTGGGGCTGGGTTGGACTGGATGATCTTGAAGGTCCCTTCCAACCTGGTCATTCTATGTGAGATTCTGTGTGAGATTCTGGTTCTGTGAATTCTGTGAGATCCTGTGTGATTCTGTATGATTCTGTGTGTGATTCTGTGAGTGATTCTGTGTGATTCTGTGAATTCTGTGAGATCCTGTGAGATCCTGTGACACTCCATCTCTTGCCAGAGCGCTGCAAATCCCATCCAGCTGAACCAATCCTTGCTGACATCTGTCCTTTATCCCGTTGCAGACACGAGCCACCAGGCGCGCTCGGTGTCCAGCCGTCCCTACTACAGCCTGCCCAACAGCAGCAGCCATGAGCGGCGCTCGGTGCTGGCGCTGGCGGAGCCGCCGCGCTTCCACTCGCAGGCCAAGGGCAAGAACGTGCGGCTGGACGCGCACTCGCGCCGCGCCACGCGCAGGAACAGCTTCTGCAACGGCGTCACCTTCACCAACCGGCCCATCCACCTCTACGAGAAGGTGCGCCTCAAGCTGGTGGCTGTGCACCACGGCTGGAGCGGGGCCCTGCGCTTCGGCTTCACCATCCACGACCCCTCGCAGATGAGCTCCGAGGAGATACCAAAGTACGCCTGCCCCGACCTCGTCACCCGGCCCGGCTACTGGGCCAAGGCTCTGCCCGAGAGGTTTGCGGTCAGGGACAATATCTTGGCCTTCTGGGTGGACCGGCACGGCAGAGTCTTCTACAGTATTAACGACGAGGAGCCCATCTTGTTTCACTGTGGTATTAAAGTTTCCGGGCCTCTTTGGGCGCTCATAGACGTCTATGGAATTACCCACGAAGTGCAAATTCTAGGTGAGTGTGTCTTTTTGGCCTCTGGGCTGCTCTTCTGCTTGCTCTTTCTGATGCATGATCTCTGTGAGTGTTTCTATGGGGCACTTAAGAAAATTAATTGCTGTTGGTTTTGTACCGCCAATTAATCATTTTTCCTCTGCCAGCAGTAGCAATATATTCCAGAGATGGCAGTGATGAAAATTCCTAAGGCTGCACATTATGGGAAGGGATAAATGGAAATCTTTACCTGTAATTCCACTCAGTTTTCCCTGAACTGGATGTGCAGCTTTGGCATGGAAAAACATGGAGCAAGGATGTGCTGCTGAATTGGATGTGCTGCTTTGGCATGAAAAAACATGGAGCAAGGTCCCAAGGATTGAGGAGACAAAAAGGACCAGTTGTGACTTAGTCTGTTCTTTCCCAGCTACCAGTTACTGCCAGTCCACTGGAAAACTATGAGTAATTGCCCAAGAGTCTCCTGGAGCCCTTCCCCAGCCCCTCTCTCTGCTCTTGGCTGTGGTCCCACCCAGGCTGGCAGTTTGAGGGGCTGTGTTGGCACTGTGACCCTTCCCTGGCACAGGGACATCACTCAGAGCCCCGGAATCAGGTGGAGCCTGGCTGGTTTACAGCCTCTTCCTTAGGGAGGGCTGCAAGATGGGATGAATCTGTTCCCATTAGCAAGCCCAGCTGATGGCCATGGAATGATTTTCCTTTTGAGGCTTTTACAGCATTGAAATTTCTAATTAATTCAGCGTTAGATGGAGTGTTTGAACTGGGCTGCACCACAGGGAACACTTTAAAAATCCAAGAGAGTTGCCCTTTGCCAGAGGCTCCTCGGAGCTGATGGAGCTTTAACAGCCCAAGGCAGCTGCACCTGCCCCAGGGGATGGTGCTGCCAGCCTGGCATGGAGCAGGCACCAGGGATGAGCTGTGGAATGGTGAGTCCAGAGGGCAGGCAGCTCCATCACGCATCCTTCTGAACAGTGCCAATTATTTTACAGGCGAGAAGGCCACACATAAGCAACGCTTTTCCCTGTCTGCTGTGCCTCAAATGTGTAATTAAACCTCACCAGCAGCTTGTCCTGTAATTGCAGTTGTGACACACTCCAGCCTCTGGTGCTCATCACAGAGGAGAAGGAATGTTTGCTGTATTGGCCAAGGCAGCTGCTTCACCAGGGCTCTCCTTTCTCCTCATTAAATTGGAGTTTGAAAAATAAAATGCAGCTTCTTTCTGCTCCCCACCTCAGTCCTGCCTGCAGCATCCAAGAGTTCCCAGTGAAAGACTCAGGCTGAGAGCACCTGTACTCTGCTGGGAGGTTTTCTTTATTAAAATACAAACCCCCCACACTGCCCCAGGAATCAGGGCCATGCTCAGCCACCTGGGGCACCAGGGGACCTGAATTCCTTGCTTGAGGATCTACTTGTCTCTGCCTCATCCTCACAAAATATTGTGAGTTGAGAAAATTGTGAAATCCAGTTCTGAGGCATAAAATGTGTCTTTCAGGATCATGAGTCACAGAAGGGTTTGGGCTGGAAGGGATTTTGGAGATCATCTCATTCCAACCCCTTACCATGGGCAGGGACATCTTCCACTATCCCAGGCTGTTCCAAGCCCTGTCCAACCTGGCCTTGGACACTTCTAGGGATGGGACATCCATCATGAAGCTTGGATGTGTCTGACCCCTCTGTGAGAGCATTTCTTGCCACACAAGCTGTGCTGGCTGAGAAGGAGCTGCTCCGGCCATCAGCCCACCCCAGTGGCCTCTCCTTCCTGGGCTTCTGAGTGAGGCAGGTTCTGCTTTGCAGCTGCTGGGTGGATTTGGGTGTTTTTCCTTTTTTTGCCAAAAGCCTGGGGGTTCTGTCCTCCAAGTAGAAAGCAGTGTTGATGCTGGGCTGCTTTACCCTCTCCATCTCTGTGAAGACCAGGAGTAAATCACACATACTCTTAAATTCCACATGCTCTGACTTTGCTCAGTGCATGAAACCTTCCAGAGTGAAGTGTCCAGGCTGCCCCAACAGGGCTGGAGGTAGAAGGGAGAACACTCTCAAACTTTCCCACACCTTTACATCACCCCCAAGCCTGGCCTGGCTCAAGTGGAAACCTGGGAAATTAATTAAGGATCAACATCCTGACTTTCCCTTTGCTGTGAAAAGGGAAAACAACCTTCTGCTGTAAAAGCTTTCTAACACCTGCAGGAAGTAGCTTTTGTGACAAGTTCTCCATTCAAAACCTGTGCATGGCTGTGAACACCCCTGAGATATGAGGCTTGAAATGACCTCTCTGGGACACACCTGTGTAAGGCAATGGCAAGGAGTGTGGAAAGAACATCCATTCATCCTTGAGTTCCTCACTTGTGCACCTGTCTTGCACAAGACCTTGGGACAACAAAATATTGAGATTTTTTTTTTTTTAGAGCTGTCAGATCCTTCTGCTCAGAAAGCTGTAGGAGCACACTGGTTTGCAGCTTTTCCCCATTTCCCAGTGCAGGGAGCTCCCAGATCACACAGGTACTTTGGAACACTTGTTTTTCCTGGCTGGTGCCAGATGCAGCCACTCTCTGCCTGCTCCACGCGTGACTCTGCACCAGGGGCTGTTCATTAGTGGTTGACCCGTGGCCGATTTTCCCTTATGGAGTCTGTAGGCTGCAATAACAACTGAAAGCATAAAAGCAGGCAGTTTTCTCTTGACTAAAGCCTCTGTGCCTTGGTTTCTCTCACAGACAGCATGTTTGCAGAGACCATGACCACCGCCCGGCTCAGCACCGCCCGGCTCAGCACCTGCCTTCCCCAGAGCAACCACGACTCGGCCAACTTCAACAACAACGAGCTCGAGAACAACCAAGTGGTGGCCAAAATTGCAAACCTGAACCTAAGCCGGGTGCCAGGGCTTGGGACTGACAACCACATCATCCCCTGCTGCCCCGGCCGGCGGCAGCACGCGCAGGGAGTCCCGGCCTTCCTGGACACCGACCTGCGCTTCCACCCCACCCGCGGCCCCGACATCACCTTCTCCCAGGACAGGATGGTGGCCTGCACCAACTGGCAGGAGAGCAATAGGACTTTGGTGTTTTCTGACCGGCCTTTGCACATCGGGGAGAGCCTCTTTGTGGAAGTTGGACACCTGGGGCTGCCCTACTACGGGGCCCTCTCGTTCGGCATCACCTCGTGTGATCCGAGCACTTTGCGGACAAACGAGCTCCCGGCGGATCCGGATTTTCTCCTGGACCGTAAGGAGTACTGGGTGGTTTACAGGGCCTTCCCAGTGCTCAACAGTGGTGACATCCTCAGCTTCATGGTCCTGCCCAACGGGGAGGTGCACCATGGGGTCAACGGGGCCAGCCGGGGCATGCTCATGTGCGTGGACACCTCACAGTCCCTCTGGGTGTTTTTTACCATCCACGGTGTGATCAACCAGCTCAAAATCCTGGGTAAGTGCAGCCAACAGAGCACCTGGCTGGGGAAGGTTGCTGGGCCAGAAGCAGAGCTCTGGGTTTGCACTCAGTGTTCACTGGTGTGAGGATGCAGCTCCTTGTGTTGGCAAACAAGAGTGACAAAGCATGGTGCCTGTCACAGAGATGTGTGCAGCCTCTGTGATTCCCCCAGGAAAGAATGAGGCTTGAGAGATAAAAGAAGCCGCAGGCAGAGAGGCAGGGATGGCTGTGGGGGGCAGCTGTTTTTCAGTGGGTTTGTTTTTGAAGGGATTCTTTATAAATAGGAATGGTTGTGGGGGGCAGCCATTTTTCAGTAGGTTTGTTTTTAGAAGGGATTCTTTATAAACAGGGGTAGTTGTGGGGGAAACAGTGTTTTTCAGTGGGTTTGTTTATAGAAGGGATTCTTTATGAACTCCCTATTCCAGCCCACAGGTATTAAACTTCTGCCTTGGTAAGGATGGTGATTTTTATGGGCACAGCTCTGGTTTAAGCACGGGCAGTAATTGCTCCTGAAGCACTGCCACAGCTCAGGGATCAGCTGGCATTTCTGATCCATTGCTGGTGACCGGTTCCAGCCTTTCTCCTCTCCTTCTGTTAAGGAATCAATCAGAATAGCAGATGTTAATGCCTTTGTAAAGCAGGTTTTCTTCATCCAAAGCAATGGCTTTTCCCAGATGACAGTGTGACGACCACAGCTGGAGCCCACTGCTGCTGGGGAGAGTGGGACTGTGGGGAAGTGTAAAGGCAAATATTGCATAACCTGGTGCTTGCTTCTCTGAAGCTGAACAGGCATCATACAAAGGCATAGCGAGGTCCAGACCCTGGGCTCCCATCCAGAATCTCGCCCTGTGTCGTTACCAAGGGGCAGCATTAGCTCAGCAGCTGGACTTGCCCTGAAGTCGCTGTGCAGGGGGGTGAGGGCAGCTCAGCAGGCTGAGGGCTTTGGCCAGGTTTGGGGGGTCCCTCTGTGGGCTCAGCTCTCTCCTGTGTTCCCAGGCACGGTGCAGTCCAGCCCAGGGACGGTGTCTCCCTCAGGATCTCCTGGTGGCTCCCAGTACGACAGCGACTCAGATATGGCCTTCAGCGTCAACAGGTCCTCATCAGCCTCCGAGTCCTCGCTGGGTAAGGACAGCCAGCCCTCAGCCATGGGGGGTACCCTTCCTGCCAGGCCAACAAGGAATGGAAAGGTTTCATGGCCTGGAGAAGGGCTGTGCATTGGTTGTATCAGCCCCAGTGTGGCAGCAGGAGCAGGGCAGGGACTGTCCCCTGTGCTGGCATTGCTGCACCTTGAACCTTGTGTCCAGTTCTGGGCCACTCGAGATGAGAAAGACATGGAGGGGCTGGAGTGTGTCCAGGGAAGGGAATGGAGCTGGAAAAGGGGCTCAGCCTGGAGAAAAGGAGGCTCAGGGGGACCCTTCTGGCTCTGAACAACTCCCTGACAGGAGGGGACAGCCAGGGAGGTCGGGCTGTGCTGCCAGGGAACAGGACAGGATGGGAGGAAACAGCATCTAGTTGCACGAGGAGTGATTTAATTTAAATATAAGGAATAATCTCTTTATGGAAAGGGTGGTCAGGTATTGAACAAGCAGCCCAGGGAAGTGGTAGAATCACCATCCCTACAAGTGTTCCAAAAATGTGTGGATGTGGCACCTGCCCCATGTGTAGAAACAGGATAACTGGCTCTGCCCAGAGCTGTGACTGCTGCAGGTTGGAATACACTGGGCTTCATTTGGCCAAAGAACCAGACAATGACTAAGGACAGCCTTAAAACCTGCCTTAAGTGTGAATGAGCCTGAGGCGGGTTCTCTGTCGATAACCCCACACTAACTTCATTCTTTGCCCTCCATTTCCTCCTCCCATTCGTCATCACAGGCCTGACACTTGTCCATCTCACCTTCCTCACAAAACAGGCTCAAATAACCCACTAGGCATTCTAGGATTTGTATAATACTTTCCCTACTCATCTCCCTAGCTCAATTCTCCCCCAACCTCTTAGGTGATCCAGAAAACTTCACACAGTGTCAGCTTTGCCCCATCCCAGCTGACCAAACAACCTCATTCCCTCTTTTCTCTTGCAGTGACTGCCCCCAGCTCCCCTTTGAGCCCCCCCATCTCTCCTGTCTTCTCCCCTCCGGAGCCATCGAGCAGCAAGAACGGGGAGTGCACCGTGTGCTTTGACAGCGAGGTGGACACGGTGATCTACACCTGCGGACACATGTGCCTCTGCAACACCTGTGGTCTTAAGCTGAAGAAGCAGCTCAACGCCTGCTGCCCCATTTGCCGACGGGTCATCAAAGATGTGATTAAAATTTACCGTCCGTAGGGGCTGCGGGAAGGGGGAACGCCGCTAGCAACCCACGCCTTTCCGTCCCTGCTTCTGGGTTATCGTGCTGGTCAGTCGTTATCCAGTGGCTCTGTTATCTGTGTTTCCTTATTTGACTGCTAGGGCACAATTCAGGGAGCAAAGCTGAGGATCGTGTGGGGCCCGGGACCCCAGCCAGCTGCAAATGAGAAATTTCCCCTGCAAAGGCTCTTTTTTCTCTCCTCCCGCTGCGGGGGAGGCTCGCTGTGCTGGGGGGTTGTCACTTGGGCAGTGCCAGATGCCACTGGGCAGTGCCAGGTGCCACTGGGCTTCCCGACCCTAAAACCCCACAGCTCTGGGCTGCTGCCACGGGCTTGTGCTGTGGTGGAGTGAAAATGGGATAAAGCCCAGCAGGAGGGTTCAAAGTGGACAGAAATGATCTGGAAATGTCATGGAAGGAGAACCAGCTCAGGCCAAATAGTGGCACAGCCAGGTTGTCACTTATTGGGGTTCTGTCCCCATGAACAGGCTCATGGGGACATGGAGGAGCTGGTCTGGGCTTTTTAAAGCAGATTTTTCTTTCTGAGGCAGAACAGGGACTTCTGGCCATGGAGGCTGAGAGCCATGGGGTAGCAGTGAGGAGCATGAGCCCACACAGAGCCCCTGCAGTGACGGAGCTGCAGGGAGCTGTGAGGGGCAGCTCGGGCACAGCCCTGCTGCCTTCTGAAGCCATAAATGCAGCCTGTGGGTGGCAGGGGTATGTGGATGGGCACACTGCAGTGGTGGCTTTGTCACCTGCAGGCACACACCCCTGCACTTTGCTCTGCCCTCCTGGAGGTGGCACAGCTGCTGTGTCACCTGTCCTGACTGTCACCTGTGCTAGACCTTCCCCTGCAGCCAGTGCCATGGCAGGGCTCAGCCTTCCTCCCACCCCACCACGGGGATTTTTTGGAGGCTTTGGTGAGAAATTAATTTCTGACCCAGTCCCATCAGGCTCACCTTTATTTCTGGGGACTGTATTTGCTGATTTTACCTGTTCTTTCTTTCCCAGCACAGCTCCCAGCTGCCTGCACGCTGGGTCTCAACTGTACCTGAGACCTTGCTGAGAAAAACAGGGATTATCTCACTTGGCTTTACTGAGGAGGATAGAAAAAGGCTCAGGCTGAATTAGATGGTGGGAACTCAAAGGTAAATGGGTATTGGGTGTAATGTCAGCTGCAGGCAGCACCTGATTATTCAGTACCAGGGCTGGTGTGAGGAGCTCAGCATCCTCCTCCCTGCTGCTCCAGTCTCTGTCCTTTGCCCATTGCACAGCCCCTATCCTGTCCTTCAGCCCCAGCCTGGCCAGTTTCCAGCTGCTTCGGGCTCATAAAGAGGGAAAATGATGGAAATGGGAGGATGAGAGGAGCTGTGTCCCTGCAGCTCTGTGACTGTGTGCTACCAAGTGCACAAGAACAGCTTTTCAGAAAGGTGCAATTACCATTTTAGTCTGGAAAAGGGAAAAAATGGAATAATAACTCCTGTACATTTTAGAGCTTCTGGGCACAGAGGGAGCCTGAGGGATGTCTGGCTGTTCCCTCTCTCCTCCAAGGCTGTGGGTGCCTGGTGCTGCTGCCCACGTGGGGGCTTGGCTGTGCCAGGAGAGCTGGGTTTGGCTACTGGCCTGTGCCAGCCCTGTGCCAGCCCTGCCATCCTCCTCCTGCAGTGGGCTGTGCTCACAGGACACCCAGAAACCTTTTGCTTTTTCCTTGGAGTGCTGATGAACATTTTTATTGAGTGTATCAGGAGAGGCTCTTGTGACCTCTCAGCCATGGCCCTGCACGAGGGCCCAACAGCTTTGCAGAGCCCTTTTTGGAGACCTTTTTGGTGCCACTGGCTGTGCCACCACCCTCAGCAGAGCCACTGCACCTTTCACTCCCACCTTCCTTGAGGAGGAGCCAGGGCACATTCCCTGCACCTGGAGCTGTTCTGGACCTCCCAGCTGTCCTCCAGCCCAGGGAGCACAGGCTCTGCACTCCCAGGGATGTCCCAGCCCCAGGCTGGCAGATCCAGGTCCAGCTGTGGGCAGTGGGCACAGCAGTGCCAGGTGTGTCAGCCCTTACCTGGGCACTGCCAGCCGTGGGAAGCCTTTCCCTGGGGAGGAATTCAAGGAGAGCTGTTGGAATGCCCGGCCTGGAGCAGGGCTGGGCCATGCCCAGGGTGCTGTCCCAGCTCCAGGGGTGCCCTTGGTGCTCCAGGGAGCAGAACCCCCTTGCTCGGTGCCACCTCAGGGCCTCCAGCAGCAGGGTGGGTGCAGCCTGGCTGGGGTTGTTTTGGTGTAGCTCTGTTTTGTATTTTTAAGCCAGCAAGGAGAAACACCGAATCCACCCCAGGAGCTGTTCAGGACACTTTGCAGAGGCTGAATTTTTGCTGTAGCAGCCAAAATCAGTTTGTAAGAAGGGGCAGCACCCAGTGAGGCCAGCAAGGAACCAAGAGGGATGGGAGAGCAGTGGATCTGTGGCCCTGCCTATCCAAGAGCAACAGGAATTTTCCAAAATAGGCCTCAAAAAAAAAGAAAAAAAAAAAAAAGAAAAAAAATTCCAGGAAAAAGTAGCCTCTTACAGATTTCATTGTTAGTATTCGTATTGCTATTTTTTTTAAACAGTCCAATGATATATGATTTGTACAGAAGATCTGTTTGTGCCTTATAAGGGTGTCTGTGCACTTTTTATCCTTTTTAAAGCAACTTTTAAAAAGAAAAAAAAAAAAGATAGGGGGAGAAAACCTACACAGATCAATGGTAGTTTTATAGAATTTTGTGTTCACTGAGAATCCTGCTTTATATATATATATATATGTATATACATATATATATATATATATATAGGAGTGAAAAAGTGTTTATTTCCATGGATTTTCCCCTCCTCTCCTCCTTAACCTTTGTTTGAAATTTTAAGGAAAAAAGGAAGAAAGGAAAGAGATGGGGGAACTCTTTTACCTCTCCCCCTTTCTGAGGCAGTTCCTCTCTTGTCGTTACCTTTATGATTCAATACTGTGACCTGTATTATCTTGTTGAAGCTGAATCAGATTTTGGACCTCTGTATTAGGCTTTTCAAGCAAAATTTTGGGGGGCCTGGGGAGGGAGGGCATCGCACGAGGGAGGGAGCTGCACCTCTACATGTCAGTGCTCTATAGTGTTCAGTGCTGTGTGTTTTCCTTTTGTCCATTTACCTGTTTTCCATGAATATAATTTTGACTTGTTTATGAAACAAATAAACCTTTGGCTTGTACAGAGTGCTCTGGAGTGCTTCAAAGATACTTTGAGATGAGGGGGTGAGACAGACTTGATTTGCAAAGTGAGGAAAGACTGATCCAGAGGCTTCCAAAGTAATAAAAAAAGACATTTTACAAACCTTTCCTGAGCTTTGCTTTGCCCCTAGGAGTCACTGCCCAGTGTCTGCTCACTCCTGCCGTGGGCTGGGAGGCTTTGCTGGCTCATTTAACCCTGCAAATCCTTGGAAGTTTGGGGGACAAGGGTGTATTGCAGGAGTACAGAGGTGGAAAAGTTTGGTGGCCCTCACAAAGAGCCCCAAATTTCTCATCCAGTCTCCAGCCTGGCGCCCTCCTGTGCCCTGCTGGGGTTGTGGCAGCCAAGGTGATACAGACACAGCAGGAAGGTTGATTTTCATTTTTTTCCTTTTCTCCTTTTTCCTTTTCCATTTCTTGTTTCCTTCCCCTTTTCCTCTTCCTTTTCCTTTCCTGCTTCCATTTCTTCTTTCCTTTTCCTGTTTCCTTTTCCTCTAGCCTTTTCCTTTACCTGTTTCCTTTCCCCTTTTCTATTTCCCCTTTTCCTCTTCCCTTTTCCTGTTTCCTTTTCCCTTTCCTTTTTTTCCTTCATGTGCCTCCTTCTCTCTCTGCATTTCTCCAAAATCACTGAACTCTGCTGGTTGGAGCTCCCAGTAAAAACTCCCACACTCCACTGCCCCATTTGGTGGGATATAAAGTCTGGGCACCAAGGAAGACATAAGGAGCTGTCAAGGTCCCCATGAGCCTCCCTACCACATCTGACAGGATGAACAGACAGACAGACAGACCCCAAACCAGCCCTGAACATAAGAGCAGCACCCCAGAATTCCACCAGCCATACACACGGGTTCACCAGGGTGCTTGAAACCAGTCAAGCAGTTTATTTTTGTTTCTTAAAAAAAAAAAAAAAAAAGAAAACAAAAGGAAAAAAAAATCAACCCCAAACCCAGCAAATAAAAATAAAAAAATCCATCCCTTAAAGGTGAAGGTATAGACAGGGCATGGACACAGCTACATCTACCTTCTGCTGCCCCCCACCCACCCACAGTAATGGAGATTTATACACATTACATACTATAGAGACACATGGACAGACAAATGGGCTTTGGGAGCCTGGCAGGGGCTGGGCACTGCAGGGCTGATGCCCACCCAGGACGTACCCAGCCTAGCCTGTCCCCAAATCCCAGCCCCTGGGCCCCCAGCCTTGGCACAGCCCCTGCACTCAGGGCTGCTCTGGGTGGCTGGGCTGTGCCTGGAGGGAGGCTGCCCCCCAGTTTGGGGTGCTTTTGGCCATCCTCCTCCTCCTCACGAGGTAGGCAGGGAGGCCCAGGGAGGAGAGGCAGCCTGGCTTGGGGCACAGGTGGCTGCAGGAGCACAAACCAGAGGGGGGACAAAGCCCTGGCAGCCCAGTGGCTCCTGGCACCTTCCCCACAGCCCCTGGGCAGGCAGGAGGGTGGAAAAGGGGTAAGGCTGCAGGTGTGGGCACCTCCTGAGGGGAATCCCACCGGGCACTCCCTCCTGGAAGCTCTTTGGGAAGAAGGGAGAGCTCCTGCCCCATGCTCAGTGAGCCAATACAGTACTTGTGTCAGGAAAACGGAGCACGACCAGTTCTGAGGCTCAGGCTGGGAGGGGAGAGGGAACAGCCCTCCTCCAGAGATGGGACCACACAAATAGCACAGCCCTCTCTGAGGAGAGCCAGGGCACAGAGGTCTCTGAGACAGAGCTGAGATGAAAAGGCCATTCAGCAAAGGCAGAGCAAGGACACGGTGCCTGGGAAAAGGATACACTGCCCTTCCACCCCGTGTCAAGAGCAGGGATACAGGTCCAGCCCTTCCCACATACTGTGGGAGCTGCATTTGGCTGTGGAGCAGCTCTGCTTTAACTCATCCTGTCCCCACTCCTTTCCAAAGCAGAAAGGATTGAATTGGAGCCAGGCAGAGCTGTCCCAACCCACCAGGAGCAGCACATCAACACTTCCCAGCGTGCCAGCAAGGAGCTTTGTTATTGCACTGCCTTGCAAATGCAGAGCTTCTGCCAGCTCAGGTGAGTCAGCCCATCAGGGGCTGATGTGCCACCAGAGGAAACCACAGGTGGGAGGGAGAGGAATCAGCCACACACCGGGGTGAGTGAATTCCCATCACCAAAAATGAATTCTGGGGCTTCTGGGTATGAGGATGGTCAGATTTCCCTATCAGATCAACCTGCCCCATTGCCCTCCCAGAATGACCACTGTTTTTTCTGTAGGCAAACAGAGGGGTCTTCACATTCCCAGGGTGGAAAATATGAACAGAAAAGGAAGTGAGCATCTGAGGGAGTGGAGAGCGCTCCTTCAATTCAGCCAGCCTCAAATTAGAGGGAAAATTGTCATTATTTTCAGCAGCAAAACAATGTGGCTGCATTGCTCACACTTGCAATTAGACCAGAGAGGGCAACAGCGCTTGGTCAACACCAAAGCTGACCCTGCCTTGGCAGGGATGCTGGACTGGATGATCTCCAGAGGTCCCTTCCAGCCCCAACAATTCAGTGACTCTGTGAAACCCACAGACATCCGGGTTTAAAGCTCTTCTGGAGAGAAATGTGGCCCTGAAGCTGCAAATAGCCAAGGACAGAAAGGAAGAAAGCAGCACTGGGGAACAACAGCTCATCCTCCTGCTGGGATAAGCAGCACTGAGGGCAAGGCAGGAATGTCAGCATGGAGAAAGCCCAGGCTCTGCTTGCCCAGCAGCCCCTCCAAGCCAACCTGGCCCACAGGGTGAAATGCAAGAACCTGGAGGGGTGACAAACAAGGCAGGCAGCCCCTGAGCACCAGACACACCTCAGAACTGGTGGTGATGAGGAGCTGAGCTCCCACATTGTGGATTGCACTTGATAAATCAGCACCGAGGGAAGGACCCAGCTCCCGCCAGCCCGGGGAGCTCAGTGGGTCCTGGAAGGGGTGGTCCCCGCCTAGTCCAACAGGCAGGGCAGTCTGTGTGGGGAGGAGAGCAAAGCATTCCCTTTTCCAGGGGTTTTGGGGTCGTTCTGGTCCTCTGTGCCTTGCATAGAATTCCTCAGCTCCGGAAGCAAAACCCCTCTGATGTTTGGTTGCAGTACTGCAGGGGAGAAGCCTGAGAGCTGTCCTGGAGCAGCATAGCAGGACCTGGTAAATGAGGGGGTATTTTTCCCTATTTTTTTCCATCAGGAGGATGTTGAAGTTAACACTTGTCATTGTAGAGCAGGGAAGGACCAAGGGATGATCCCCGTGCAGGGAGAGCATGGCACAGCCCTTAACCAGAGACAGAGCTACAGGAACATGTTCTCAGCAATCATTTCATCCTTTTTGCCACATTCCTCATGGTTCTGCTACAGACCTGGACTAAGCAACATGACTGCAACTCTTGGCTGTGATCCTGAGCTTCAGGGAAAGGCAAATCCTTCTGTGATTTCCTGCATTGGTACCATTCCACTTGGCTGCTGCTGGATTTCTCTCCAGTTCACCACAGAGGTGGCAAAATGTCAGTCAAGGTCCATCTCCCCAGCACAGAGAACCACGGGAGCCAAGTCCTTTGGGGAATGTGAGGAGGAGGATGGGTACAGGGAGCACAGGGGTGAGGAGGGGAGGCTGAGCTGCTTCCTCCAGCTGCTGCCAAGGGGCTCCAGCTGGGAGGCGTGGGATCTCCAATTATTATCTTCTCTTTTAAAGCCAGCCTTACAGAAAACTATAAATTAATCTGCTCATTAAATACTCAGGTGAGAGATCAGGGAGCCTCCAGCCATGGAGCAGCTACGGCTTCTTCCGCAGGTAGTTGGAAGGGATCCAGCCCTCCCAGCACGGCCCCCCAGCCAGGACCCTGCAGAACCACCAGCCACTGCTGTTCTTCTCACGAACTTCAAACAAAGTCCCTTCTCTGAAGCTGTTGGTCTCCTCGTCACCTTCAAAATCCGCCACTGCCACATACAGAGCTTCCCTGGAGACGTCGGGCCCGGACATGGCGGCTGAGGGCCTCTCCCTGGCCTCCCCTCTCTCCACGGGTTTGGAGATGACCTTTGGGTTTATTCTGGCTTTGGCTTCGTCCTGCATGCAGGCAGCGAGGAAGGGCTTGGCTTTGGGAGGGACCAGCATGGGCCTGCCTGGCACTGCTGAGGGCCGGGCCT